GTTAGTCTTTCGACCCTAAATAGTGCTCACTGAATACTGTGGTTGTGCCACATGCCAGGCACTGTGCCAAGCACATTTTATACATTATTACATTTAGTTCCCACAAAAATTCTGTATGGAAAATATTAGTCCCTTAATTTTGCCAAAAAGGAAAAGGAGACTCAGAGACAGTAAGGTGCCTAAAGTCACAAGCTAGTGAGCAGCAGACTTGCGATCTGAACTTGGCTTATCGTCTCTCAAACTCTACGTTCTTAATTAATGAACAGTATCTCTCCCATCACAGGAACACCATGAAGGTTAAATAGATAATGTACGTAAAAGTGCTTGTAAAACGGTAAAGAGCTATTTAACTCACTTCACCTTAAAATGAAGCGATGAAAAAAAAGAAAAATGAAGCGATGGACAGGGATGATACAAATACAGACCTGGGTTTCTGTCACCTATATGCTTAGCCTAGTGAGTACTCTGAAAACATGCTTTAGTACAAATAAATATAACTTCAGTTTATGGTTATCATGTCTACTATTTTGTATATGCTATACCTTTTACATAATGTAAAACTGCACTATCATCACCTGCAATTTTAGGAAGGAAGAATAGTTTTAGAACATGGGAGCCTTCTGAGAACTTTACGGACCACTCTTGTACATATGCCAGGCCCCTCAGTCACCTTCACCCTCTATCCTTAAGTTGTTCAAAGAGATTGTGCATAAGAGACAAACATTTGAAAGAGTCCATAATCTTAAATTTTAAAGGCTTTGCAAAACACTTACTACTCTGCCATCTGTTACCATATCCTTCAACTTTTTACTCTGTGATTTTTAAGACCAACCTTAAAAATTAATTCTCAGGCCCTCCCTGGTGGTGCAGCGGGTTAAAGCACAGCACTAAGAAGCTTAAGCCACTTCCGCATGAGTTCGATTCCCGCCTGTCCCGGGGGAGATCCACATGGCGAGGCAGACCTCTCCTGGCCCGCCCGCTGCTCCCCTCAGCAGTGTACTTCGTTGATCTGCCTGTTCTGTTCCCCCACTCTGTCTCTGGTGAAGCCTCTCATCCTCTGCATCTCTAGCCTGTACCCCAGTTCTGTATGAATAAATAAATAAATCTTTTTTTAAAAAAAATTAATTCTCAGTGTCAGTTTCAAGATTTGGAAATAATTGCTGATGTGACAGTCTGTAGCTACAAGTCATTTCAAAATCCCTCAATTCCTATTTTTCCTTTCTCTCCTTTAAAGTGTTATCAGTGAGTTTTCCCCTTTATTGGGAGGACAGCTTTTAAAGGAACACACTAATTTTAAAACCAAGCAAACAAACACACAAGACAGCTATCTGTTCACTGCAGAAACTATGGGAAAACATTATTACTACTTTAAAAACTACAGACATTACCTGGTTTGATTGCATAGATGTCAAAATTTTTTACTCCTTCTTCTTTTAGGATATTTTCATCAATAATAAAATTGCCAGTAAAACTTTTTGGCTTCTTGAAAATTGAATATGCAGCATCCGCGATGATGTCAACTTTTCTACATTGGCTTTCAACACCAGATCCTCCCAGCATATCCATGGCAGCAGTGTGTATAGCTGGAGAAAAAACACATCCCCGAGTAAGATCAGATATTACAGTAACAGTAACAAACAAGCACAGCTAATCACTTTAGTTCTCAGTGACTAAAAACAAGGACGAGAGAGCTTAAGGATTTGCCAAATGTTTTAGAAACACAAAAGTAGAAAACACCTGTTCCTTTTGCGGTACAATGCTTGATACAGAACTCCTTCCTTGACTCTCTCCACAAGATTCAATCAGCCTTCTTTGTCAGAATGTATACAATCTGCTTACTATTTTGGAGAGTCAAAAATGCAAGGAAGGCATAATAAAGAGCGCTGAGCTACAAGTTAATTGAGTATTTACACTAAGAATGTCATGATTTCTGGCAAGCCAGCTACACCTCTGGCCTCAGTTTCCCATCTCTAAAGTATGGAGTTCCTTTCCAAAGTGTGTTGCCCTTTTCCTCTGCTGGAATAGTATGCCAGTACACTGTTTCTCTTGTTCATCACTGTATATCCAGAATCTAAAATAATGACAAGTACTGGTTTGATTTGGGGGTATCCTTTTAAAGTTCAGATAATATATTTTTTGTAGAAATAACAGAAAATAGAGAAACAGAAGGAAGAACTTAAAAATTATCTATAATTCCCCTACACAGATAGTTATGTTTACATATCATTTTCACTGATTTAAGTCCAAAAAAAATTTTTTCTGACATAATTTTTTTAATAATAGTTTATTTTTACATCATCTTGTGCCTTTTTCCATCTCAGTTGTAATCCCCATGGGCTCCCCGGCACCAATACACCTATGTGCCATCACCAGAGTCTAGTGCACTAACCGCCCCCCACCATTTTTTATCTCATTTCCCACTCCACCCCTGGAAAATGTCTCTGGTATATTGTTCATCATCATTATTATTTTCTCCCCTGGTCCTTTATACTCCTGCTATGAATGAAACCATCCAGTATTTTTCCTTTTCTTTCTAAGTCCAAAGAATGTTTAAGTATTTTAATGAAGTAACTTGAAACTACCATTGACAGTAATTATTATACATTGGCAAAATTGAGAACAGTAACTTATCTGTTTACTTTCCAATATCTTAGCTTATCATTAAAGTAATGACAGTTCAGTTGTTTAAATGTACTTAAGGTTTCAGAATATCTAGCAATTAAACTTATATCCATCCATACCTTAATTAAATCATCATTTAAAATCAAATCTACTAGAAAAACGAACAAAATACAGCACACAAATTGAAAAGTAACTCTTAAAAGCCACTCTTTTTCACTCATTTAACACAAAATTATTGAGAAAAGTCAGGCTGGGGACAAATAGGTAAGATGTCCTTACCTTTGTGCTGATTACACAGAGTATAATTACACAGAGTGTATAAATAACTTGGGCAATTTCCATACATATTTCCTTAGGATAAAAGTTCCTTTACTGGTAATAACTGTTTTTAACTCATCAATAATTTCATCCTTGAAATGATAATCTTATTAACAAAAAAATAGCCGCTAACACTTACTAGGTTCTACCCATGCTGGTCATGGCACTGCATACTTTACATACATTATTTGAATCAGTTCTATGAAATAGATACTGTTATTATTATTCCCATTTTATAGATGAAAGCATGCGGGTAAAAAAGGGTTAAGTAACTTGTCCATTTAAACACTTGACATCTTTACTTCAAGTCAGACTTAGCTACTGTCTAACAGATGGGTCAGACTTTGTTAACTAACATCTTTAGAGTTCAGTTATCTTTTCAATCCCATAAAAGGCAAAATTTTCTCTATTTCCTTATGGTGTACACTGAGACTAAATACATACATGTAACATTCTATTCTCAATGTAGAGTTTATAAATGATATAATTTATGTATATGTGACCTTCCTGATGGTTTGAAGTCACAGCACTATGAAGCTATTGCCAGCCACTGCAGCATTAGTTCGATCTCTGGCCAGGGAGGGAGCTGAGTCGCATGCCATAGCACAACTCACCTGTCTTTCCCACAGCTCCCCTCATCAGTGTATTCCAGTAGATCTGCCTGTTCTGCTCCAAACTGTCCCTGCTGAATCTTCTCGCCCCCACACCTTTGGCCTATACCCCAGTTCTTGTACGTATAAATAATAAAAATAAATCTTAAGGGCTCTCCCTTGTGGTGTAACGGGTTAGGACACAGCACTGCAAGCTAGCCGCAGCCACTTCAGTCCGACTTCAATCCCCAGCCCTGGAGGTGACCCACCTGGTGTGGCAGACCTCTCCTGATCCGCCTGCTGCTCCCCTCCCTTCACTGATCTGCCTGCTCTGTTCCCCACTCTGTCTCTGGTGATCCTCTCACCATCCCTGTACTTCTGGCTTGTATCCCAGTTCTGTATGCATAAATAAATAAATCTAAAAAAAAAATAATAATAATAAATAAATAAATCTTTTATCTCAGGCAATCTGCCTGTTCTGTTCCCCACTCTCTATGGTGATTCCTCTCACCACAGCCCACACTTCCGCACCTCTGTCCTGTACCCCAGTTCTGTATGCATAAATAAAATCTTTTAAAAAAAGGAGTTCAACTTGTTTCCCAAGTGACAGAATGAGGATATCTTTGACAGTCTATTCATTCCTACCCCACCCAACACACCCACGGAGCAATTCAAGACTGCCAAGGACAACAAATGAGAAGCCAACTAATTTTTTTTTAAATACATACCTGTTTTAGGCCACAAGGCATTGACTGCAATTTCACCTTTAAATTCTTCTGCCATTCCAAGCACACACATGGACATACCATACTTGGCAATGGTATAGGCTGAAAGAAACCACAAAAATATTTAATTCAAGAACAAATGAATTTGTGAGTATAAATAAGCAATTTCTTTCTATTACTGTTTCTGCCTAATGTAGTGTTTCAGAATTCTTTAATGATATAAATAAACAATTTTTAATGGACTGTTATTAAAAGAACAGTTTTTATGGAAGTAGCTAACCAGGAATGGTTTAATATATTTCCATCCTAATACTTAAGGAAAAGAGATTAATAAATTTCATTTCTGTTAATGTTAGGGGGAGAAGTTATATTAATCTATATTTTCTTAATATAGATTTAATTTATACTTAACATAGACTAAGTTTATGTTTTTCCTCATAATGAATAAGGTGACCCTTTAAAGGGAAACGATTGCTAGGTTGCAAATTTGTTTAACTGAGTCAATTAGTAGAGAATTTTCAGTTTTTCTTTCTAGGATGATCCTATTCAAATAACCTTTCCAAATTTTAGTGAATTATGGTAAAATAAGGACTGAGTATTGATACAACTATTTTAAAGCACTTTCACATAAGTCTTTTAGCATATCCACCTTAAGTCAATCATTAGTTAATCTGTAAAGGTAAAGTATTTCGTGGATAATTTTTAACCAATTTTATTGAAGAATAAATTGCATATAATAAAACACACCCACTAGAACTGAAAAGAGTTTTTTGGAATGATTGAAATCTGTATCTTGATTTGGATGTTAGTATATATTTGCCAAAACTCATCAAACTGAACCATTAAGATCTGTGCATTGTATTGAATATAAATTATACCTCAATTTTTAAAAATCACAGATAAGAGATTAAAAATCCACTTTCTAATTACTACTGGGATTCTACACATAAAATATACCATTGAACACAATATGCAAAATGTGATTACATCACACACTGATTTAATACAAATTAACTAAACAAGCCATCCCCTCATCAAGCTACTTACCACAATGCTGTTTGAACCACACTGGATTTAGGTTCAGAGGTGGGCTGAGATTGAGGATATGGGCAACTTTACTCTTTTTCAAGTAAGGAATACAAGCTTTAGAGCTGAAAGGAAAAGAAAAGTTAACAGCTTTCTAACAATTTACTTTTTCAAGTTGTATTTTAAACTATTTTTATGGAGGAGTTAAACTTGGTTAATTTATTGTTTTGTAGGGATTTATTGTTTGTCTTGTTTTTTTCTAGAATGAAAGAAAAGCAACTAATTTTCATCCTGCAAAGCTTTGCTTAATGGCCTGAAAATTCTCTGCTTGATGAAAACTATCAAATCCTTGACATATTAGCCTTAAAACCAACTGAAAATATCCTCAACTACAATCTCCAAATTCTCTCTCCTTTTCCCTCTCTCCAGCAAACAGTTAATATACTTTTCAGCCATTACTGTTTAAAGAACATGAGTGTGTTCACGGTGGACAGACCTGGGTTCAAACCTTCCTTCTGTCCGTTCATTGTGTGATGTTGGACAAAATATACAACATTTGAATTCTCAGTTTTATCATCTGTAAATGGTGGTAATACCTAACACCATCTAGGATTGATTAGGTATTTAGAAGAGTGCATATGGTAAGCATGAAATAAACTATTGCTATCATTAGTATAAAGTGTTGAATTATTTCATCTTAGCAGGTAGGTTCCTACTATGAGGAACTGTAATTTATTTAACAACATATCTCCCAATACATTCCCAAATTTAATTTAAACCAATATACAATACAGTATGCCTTTAACAACAACATTTATTTTCATTTCTTTTCAAAACAGAACAGTTCATAAGATAGGCAGTTTATTTTACAAAAGGCTTAGGTTAATATTTTTACGTTTTAGTAATGTAATGACTTTATTTTAGTTTTACTTCACATTCAGTAACTTCTAGGGCTATGAACTAATTCGCTCTTTCAAGCCAGTTTTTTAAACTAACAAATTACAACATTCTACCTATATATAATCTGTAACATCTTTTCAAGTTTATAAACCAAACACAATCAATGTCAATAGTTTCAGTACACACTGCTTTTCCTTTCCAAAGATCTCCATTTTTATGGGATGACAAGGAAATGGGCAAACACTGTTACAGCTGCATGCTCACTAAAGCAGAGGAGTCATACAGGGTGTTAACAAGATATAATCCAATCTAGTCTAGGCTAAGGAACCATATTTTATACTTCAAGGGAAAAGTTCATTTCTTTTATATCATAAACACAAATTTCTCCTTTGACCTATTAGACAAAACATGTCCTCATTCACTTTACAACCTGGCCCTCACTCAGCATTACTGAATCTAAATCAAATCATCACTAAATCCTAAATTAGGTGCAATTTTCACAGCAATATGAGCTTTTCTATATCACACTGAAAACTTAGCACCAAACTTAGATACTGTATACCTTCAGCCTAAAAAAGTTAAGTTTATTAAAAACTTGTTGTATGAGCACTAAGAAAGTATCGCAGCCCCTGCAGTATGAGTTCATGCCCGGGCCAGGGAGTTGACCGACATGGCGCAGCAGACCTCTCCTGACTCTGTTGCTCCTCTCAGCAGTATATTTCAGTAGCTCCACCTGTTCTGCTCCCCACTCTGTCTCTGGTGAATCCTCCCCCCCCCCCCTGCACTTCTGGCCTGTACCCCAGTTCTGTATGCATAAACAAACAAATTATCTTTAAAAAATAAATAAATAAAAACTTATAAATCACATAAAAATTCTCCTGACACCATAGGTAAAAATAGCTAGGTGGGTGGAATATTTACATCATCAACAATAGAAATTGCTACAAATTATTTAAGTTTTTAATACAATGTGCCCTTCTGAGCCTTAATTCCACATGATAAGCAAAAATAATCCTAGTTAAGGTTATATATTTAAAAGATTTATTTATTTATGCATACAAGTGCTGGGGTGTAAGCCAGAGGCGGGGGGTGAGATGATTCACCAGAGGCAGAGTGGGGAGCAGAAAAGGCAGATGTACTGAAATACATTGCTGAGGGGAACAGTGAGTAAGACAGGAGAGGTCTACTGTGCCATGTGAGTCTCCTCCTGGCCAGGGATCAAACTTGTGCTACAATGGCTGCTGACAGCTTCGTAGTATTGCACTTTAACCCCCTGCAGCACCAGGGAGGGCCCTAGGGTTATATTTTTAAATACCTCTATGAGTAAGCTTCTTCATTCACTCTAAAATCTTCCAGAAAGTTATCAACTTTAAAAGATTCTGATGCCCAAATATTTCTTCATATAATACACAACTGCAAACATAGTAGCACAAGTTATTATATTTGAAAATAAACACAAATGTTATTGAAACATGAGCCCTTTTTTCTAGTGACGTTATTTTATCATAATTTTTTTCTATATGTTTGCCTTAGTTCTTACTACAGCTTGATTTGACTATGGTTTCCATTCATCCTTTCATACTGAATTTATAAAAATATGGTCCACATGTACAAAGAAGCTCTCACTCATTTTACTTGAACATATGGCCCTCTTGGCATATGATTCATTCTCTTCCTTCAATATAGACCTAAATGTGAGAAATATTTTACTTCCCTCTTGCATATAAAAACAACATTGACAGCACAAGGATGAATGGCAAATTTTTTTTAAAGATTTATTTATTTTTTTTTATGCATACAAGAACTGGGTGTAGGCCAGAGGTGTGGGGGGAATGAGAGGATTCACCAGAGGCTGAGTGGGAAGTCGGAAGGTGGATGTATAGAAATACGCTGCTCAGGGGAGCGATGGCTAAGACAGGAGAGGTTTGTTGTGCCATGAGGGTCAGCTCCCTGGCCAATATAGTTTGATAGCACTGAAACCTTAACCCTTGTGCCACCAGGGAGGCCTGAATGGCAAGTTTTCACTTAACCTGTCCTCAGCATCTGGAAGATAAGAGAATTCACGCTCTATCTAACAAGGCAATCAGTACTCAGTCAATATGTGGCTATAGCAGGTAACTTTCCATGTGGTTTACGTCCCAATATTTCAAGACCAGAAATATTAATTTTTTTAAAAGTCTCCCAATTTTTTAATACAGGCAGCTAGTGAAAAAATTTTAAAGATATATTTATTTCCACATACAGAACTGGGATATAGGCCAGAGGAATGGGTGGTGAGAGGACTCAACAGAGACAGAGTGGGGAGCAGAACGGCAGATGGACTGAAATACACTGCTGAAGGGGGCAGTGGGTGAGACAGGGGAGGTCTGCTGCACCATGTGGGTCAGCTGCCTGACTGGGGATCGAACTCATGCTACAGTGGCTGCTGATAGCCTCATAGTACTGTGCTTTAACACGCTGTGAAACCAGGGAGGGCCCACTACTGAAATTTTTAATGGAGTAAACTTTTAATGGCAGTAATAAGAACAAATGTTAACATTGTCAGGATAAGGTACTGCAGGCCAAATAAAACATACCTGAAGGCAAATTTCAGGACTAACTTACCAAATTTTACATCTAACCTTCATGACCACTCCTATGACAGGCAGCTTGACTATCCTCATTTTACAAATGAGGACTGAATCTGCAAGAGGTGAAGCTACCTGAATAAGATTCCGAGATATCAAGTCATGAAAGGTAGGGTAAGATTCGAACCCTCCTCAAAATAGTTTGCCTCCAAACCCCAGGTGTTCTATGTACACATAAGGGTGAGCAAGCTCTGTGTTGATCTGATGTTATGTCCAAATGAAAAATGCTTGAACCTGAAGGCAACCGAACTGATAAACCAATGGACAGACAGACAAAAAGCTACACCATCTGGTCAATCCAGAACAGCCCAAGGCCATGTCTGCTTTCACTGTATATTCTACATTTCTCCCAATGTTCCAAGAAAGCATTAGCCTTTTGTCAGTTATTATAAAATGTGAACCATAATGAGCTGCTATTATTTCTGTAACAAAAATCCAAACTATTTTCAGAAGAGACACTAGGGCTCTCTCTGGTGGCGCAGCACTATGAAGCTATTAGCAGCCACTGTGGCAAGAGTTTAACCCTAGCCAGGGAGCTGACCCACATGGTGCAGCAGACCTCTCCAGTGCCACCCACTGCTCCCCTCAGTAGTATATTTCAGGGGATCCACCTACTCTGTTCCCCACTTTGTCTCTGATGAAGCCTCTCACCCCACGTACCTCTGGCCTGTACCCCAGTTATTATATGCAAAAATAATTTAATATTTAAAAAAGAAAAAGGAGAGACTAGTATTGGTTCAAGTAACTGGAAAACTTAGTATGTATATATGTTTTTATTCATGCAAATATTTAAATGCTTGAGCTACAGTCTATTAGATTTACAGAGAAAAGAAGCTCTGAGGGCCCTCCCTGGTGGCCCAAAGGGCATGTGAAACTAGCACGCTGGAGTTCATCCCTGCTGGGGAGCTGTACAGCAGACCTTTCCTGTCTCACCCATTGCTCCCCTCAGCAGTATATTTCAGTCAGTCTGCCTGTTCTGCTCCCTGTTCTGTTTTCTCAGAATCCTCTCACCCCCTATACCTCTGGCCTGTACCCTAGTTCTATATACACAAATAAATCCTTAAAAAGAAAAAGAGCTTTGAATAAGACTATTTAAAATACAGTGTACTAACCAGAACACATTTAGAACTTTTGAAGAACTGAATAGATTTTAAGCTGTAGTGCCAACTTGGTTCAAATCTGTTTTATAATTTGTTCTCAAAAAGCACTACAAAGCTCTCCCCACGACTCTTTAACTTACGTAAGGTAGGTGCCTCTGGTGTTGACATTCATCATCAAATCCACTCTCTTTGTAGGTGTTTCCAATGTGTTGGTCAAGCTAATGGCACTGGCATTATTCACCAAAATATCAATTCCTGTTTGCAAATAAATGTTAAACTTTATAATAAACAAAAACGAAAGTAAAAACATTTACTCCATATAGGTGAGCCCAAGTTGATTCAAAATACTTCTTTTACATAGTAATGATTGACAAATACACCAATGCAATACTTGGTAGGTGATCAAAACAGCACCCAAATGACTTTTACCACACAGTGGAGAGGCCAATGACCAGAGCAGTTCATGAAGCTATAAGGAAGCTTAGTCTTCAGGGGCTCGGTGCCTCCATGCTCTTATTCCATTACATCCTGGACCTCCCCACTCATTTCCAAGAGTCCAAGGTCAACTTCCATAAGTTCCCCCTCTTCTTTGCCTTCCTTCCAAAGTGTGCCACACATCAAAGAGACATGTCCCTCTACCCCTCTATACATCTTGTTTAAATGAGAGATCCTTTCTGGTTTCAGAAATTGAAACTTTTTAGAGTTTCAATTTCAGGCAAATCATCAACATAAATCAAGTCTGCTTTGGTAACACACATTAAAAAATAACATAAATCTAGAACAACTATCACTTTTGTATATTCTAGCCAGTCCATAACTATGTCTAACATATTAGTTACAAATTTAGTTAAATAATGTTAATAAAAGTGGTCAAATTCAAACATCTCAAACATTCCTCTGTGTTTATAATTCTTTTTAAAGGGTACTTAATATACCATCAAATAAAAATATCACTTTCTTTGCCAGGATTAATTTTGCAATAAACACCTTTTGTTATCCCTTTAACTCTGCTATGCTCCTCTTTTGCAATACATAGATAATCTCTTAAGGTTAATGTGCCCTTAATAAATCATTTTAGTCATAAGAATTCTTTCTTCCTATATAGGAACATAAAAATTTGATCAGATCCTCATTCCTCAATTTCCATGTTCATTAGTATAGTTTGCTTTGCTAATATTTTCTTAAAACCTATCTTCACAATAACTTGGAATTCAAATATGTTATATTTTTGTGGCACTGGCATAACAAACTCAAGTAGACCATGTGTATACATGAGTTCTAGGTCCTGGGAAAACCAACTTTCCAGAATGGAAATAATGATGGCTGCTTTCACAAGTAACAAAGACCCCAGAGAAGAATTTTTAAATCCAGGATATACTTCCCAATCCACAAAGCAAGGAACTGCTCATCCATATCACCAAGACAAATCATCAAAAGGATACTCTGCATAAGATACTCTACTTGGGCCAAAGAGACAAGATGGACAATAATCAGAGGAGGAGAAGCCAAGCAGAAGCGAAGCAAGGTGAGTGCAGGTCTAAGCAGGATGCTGTACTGACCCACCACTCAGGCATCCCTCTAATCAGGGGGAGGCAGCCACTGAAGGCTGACCCAGTCAATACACTCCTTGAGTCACTCCATACTTTGCTGACTTCCCCTCTCTCACTGTGTGATTACCAGTGACAATTTTGTTACCAAGGAAACAAATGGTTCCAAAAGCAAAGAAAGTAAATAAGGAATAAAGAAATACTGATGTGGCAAACTGAATTTGGCTTGTCAATGACCAAGAAAGAAGTATATCCAGGTCCTTCCTGGTGGTACAAGGGGTTAAAGCACAGCAGTATGAAGCTCTTTGCAGCCACTGCTGCATGAGTTCGATCAGAGGCTGGCAGACCTCTCCTGTCCCACCTGCTGCCCCCTCAGCAGTGTATTTCAGTAGATCCACCTATTCTGCTCCCTAATGTCTCTGGTGAATCCTCTCGCCCCTCGCATTTCTAGCCTACACCCTGGTTCTTGTATGCATAAATAAATCAATCTTTAAAAAAAAAAAAAGGAAGGATTGTATCCCAATGAAGAGGCAGATCAAAATTCCTAAAATAATATGGGCCAAGTTAAAATAGGTCAGGGAACAACAGTTGGGCATGATACTCAAAAGGCATGTATATATATGCCTGCTACAGAAGGGGGAGAATGATGGCGGGGGAGGAATGTTTCTGTGGTTTATGAACTAGTATAATTTGCTCAAGGTTTGAAAAAACTCCAAACATAACAGAAGACAAGGAGCTGGACCACGTGGCACAGACACGAGAACACAGTTTTGAAATCATCAGCTTCTGACTTCTTTTGCTTCAGAATAGTTCTCCAGCACAGAGAAATGTCAGGACAAAAATGGCCAGAGAACAGAGTGGGGAGCAGAACAGGCAGATCTACTAAAATACACTGCGGAGGGGAGTAGTGGGTGAGACGGGCGAGGTCTGCTGCGCCATGGAGTAGTGGGTGAGACGGGTGAGGTCTGCTGCGCCATGTGGGTCAGCCAAGGATGGAACTCAGGCTGCAGTGGCTGCTGGTAGCTTCATAGTGCTGCACTTTCTCTCCCTGCACCACAGGGGAGGTCCTTAGAGTTCACTCTTAATTCCATATTGTTATGCCAATAATGCAGAAGTTAATAGGTAAATGAAAAGCAAAAAAATCTGAACTTAATATTAAAATGGGTACTAAATCCATTTGGTAAAGGAAAACTTAGGAAAGACTCCAACACAGAGACAACTCCATGCTAATTTATAAATTTAGCAAGAGGATGGAAGTGTTTCAGATGTCCCTCTCAAGAACAGGTAGCAAAACAAAATTGGAAAATTTTTTCTCCCTTGAATTTTTTGCTTCTTAATGAAAAGGAGAGAGAAATGTATTTCCAAAGAAATAAGGGGACATTTAAGGAGGGCTAGAGGTAAAGAAAAGAGCGCTGAGGGAGCATTGAAGGAGAGAAAAAGTTAAGAACAGAAAATTCAAAGTAAAGAGATGGAAGTAAACTATTTCAGCTGATTCAAGGAGTACATGGAGGGGTGTAGGAGAAAGATGGAATCCTTTCAAAAATAGTTAAGATCAAAACTATGAAATCTGAATACTAATCATTATACTGCACTTTCACAGTAAACATAAAGAAGTCATCAAATAATGGTTGCATTACTTGGGAAGAGGCAAGTGGATGGAATTAGGGAAACTACTTGGTTAGATATGTTATCATCAGTGTCTCAGCTACACTGGATGGTAGGTTTTGTTATATTAAAATCATTTTATTTTACACAAATACTTAATTTCATTTTTCTGCCCTAAGCCAACGTACTTAACAGATGATAATTCTTTTTGCTGTGGACCATCTCCTTGATCAAACAAAACTATAAAATACATCTTGTCTGTGACAGGCATGCCCACTTTCTGTATTGCTAAGAAAGAGGTGTCAAATCCTGTCACAGTTTTTTTCCCACAGAGGAATGCCACAACTGCTATCCCCAGAACAGCTGCAGACCAGTAGCTGTGGAATAAAATAATTTCAACAATTAAAAAAACAGCATCAGGTGGTTTTAAGCTATGTTTCTAAGTGAGCGAACAACTAATTTCTGGTTATATGCCAAAGGCTCAGAATATTTCTTAAACATTAAAGTTAGTCATATTTTACCCCTAGTTAAGAATCACTTCATCTTGAGAGAGAGACACCATTTACATAAGTTTTATTACCATATACTATTAGATTGTTCTATTTTATTACTTAAAAAAAAATCACTTCAGAATGAGGGCACTACCTCCAAATTTCTCCACTGCTTGCTCCACTGCGTTACTGATTTGTTGCTCATCTCTCACGTCGACAACACATGGTAAAGCCTTTCCTCCCGCTGCTTCTACTACAAAGGATAAGTAACAAACAAGATTAAAGCACCCAATTTCAAATCTTTCATTTTCATGAGAGTCAAAAGAAAAAGCATATCCTATTTTCAGAAAGTCAATATAAATAATTATGTCTTGTAACTAATAGTGGCTTCAGCCTACCATAAGAGGCCTATGGGACACAGACTAGCCCATACCCAGCTTCAGAGTAGCTAATCCAATTCCATTTAAAAAAAAAATGGAAGATAATTTTTAAAGCCTTTATTATGGAAAATAAAAATTATAAAGAATAAAATAATGAACTACCATGAATCAATCCCCCTATTTTTTCCAATGATTAGTCATACTTTGCCAGTCATTGTTTTAATTTATCCACCCCCAATCCTGAAATATTTCTAGCTAGCATTGTTTAAAACATCTCACTCGGGCCCTCCCAGGTGGCACAATGGGCTAAAGCACAGTAGTCTGAAGCTAGCACAGCCGCTGCAGCATGAGTTCAATCCCCAGCTGGGGAGGTGACCCACATGACATGGCAGACCTCTCCTGTCTTCTCGCTGCTCCCCACTCTGTCTCTGGTGAATTCTCTCACCCCCTGCACCTCTGGCCTGTACCCCAATTCTGTATGCATAAGTCTTTTTAAAAAAAATCATCTTACTCAAAAATACATACACATATGTTCCCCTAACATAACAACAATGATATTAACATAACTAACAAGAGACAAGCAAAATCAAAGGGAGTCAAATTTTTAAATCCTGTGCCTAGCACAAAGCTTTGAACGCTCATAAATACTTATGAACTGAAAGTATTAAAATAATGACTTGCAAATTGTGCAGAGGGTAAAGACCATGGAGAGAGCAAAGCATTCTCATCATCCACTGCTCAGTCTTTCCTCTCCAACTCCACTTACCCTTTTTCTGCTCCCATCCAAGATCTACTGCTCCCATGAGACCTGATTTTTTATAGGAGTCTCATACCACTCAAAATTGCTGGGGGAAATAAAACAGTTCCAAATCACTAATCTAAGGGAACAAAATACTTCTTTAGCTACATAAAATTATTTCTAAGGTAGCTTTCACATGGCTATAATTCAACCCTCCAGCAAATTCTCTATATATTGAAAGCCCAGTGAGGACATCTCAGGAAATGGCAGTGTCACACTCACTCACTTTCTTCAGCAGCAGTATAGATTGTGCCTGGAAGTTTGGGGTGCGCCTGGGTGGTCTTGGCAGCAATGACAATATTTGCTCCATCCTTTGCTGCTTTCAACGCAATAGCTTTGCCAATGCCACGGCTTGCGCCTGTGATGAAAACTGTACATCCCGCTAGCTTCCTGCAACAGAACAGACATGACCTTAGTAGGAAGCTCAAAGCATTTTTACTTGCTGGTACCAGGAATTCAGGCACGTTTTCTCCATACACATGTTTTCTCCTCTGTATAATTTTCTCTCTCTCTCCTCTCATAGCTAATAACTACATTGCTCTCCCACTGCACAATGATTTATAAATTATACATTACACCTGCAATTATGGTTTGGTAAACAAGATCTGTGCAAGCAAAGTGTGTTAAGGAGGAATTTTTAAAAATTAAACATAGAGGCCCTCCCTGGTGGCGCAGCGGGTTAAAGCACTGCACTGAGAAGCTAAAGCAACTTCCGCATGAGTTCGATTCCCGCCTGCCCCGGAGGTGA